AAATGAGAAGAAGAGTTAATAATTAGAGTATTTAAATAAGTAACTCACAGGTGAATTGCAGATATAGCAACATAGTGTAAAACTAACAGATAATCAATCATCTGTATAATGAACTACTTAAATTAGACAATGACTAAAGTTATATATGTAACTTGTTGTATACTTATCATGTAACTATAAAACCTTAGAAGATACTATTTCAATAACTCCATAATAACAAATTAATAAAACCTAATTAGCTAAGAAGGCAGCCTTAATAAAAAAAAATAAAAAAATACTATCATCAGGTTTTTTTTACTCTTCTGAATTACTGTAAGCTTCAGCCTATTGAAGGCATTTAAGCAGTTATAAAAGATGAGATATCAGATCAGATCCACATGCAAGTCTTCTAGATATTAGAAACAAGCTCTTATTTGCTTTCAATGAAAAGATAAATTCAAATATAATCACTAGGTTTTGGCATAGATCACTTAATAATGCGAAAAAATATTTGGAATTTGATCATCAAATAATTTTAATAGATGATTTAACAGATGAATCTTTGTTATCTGATAATTATGACAATTCTGATGACAAATAATTATTTTTTTTATATAATTATATTTCTCAGAACTTGTTGATTATATTTTAATAAAAAAAAAAATTCGAACTTATATGTATAGAAATTTTTTATTGATTTTTTTTTTGGTGTACGCTTATAGGTAAAATTCACACCGATTCCAAAATTACATACTGTATGTTATTCATTAATTCAAAAATGACTAACAGGAATCAAGAAATGACGCACAACAGATCCACTTATACAAACAATAACTTCTGCACATTAATTATTTAATAGATGAAAAAACAACTCTGAAGAACTTTTAAAAGAGGTAAATGTTTAATGGCTTATGCTTTTTTATATAATTATTATTTAATCTTAATTATTACAAAATTTATTAACGGCACAGAACAATTAATAATTGACAAAAATTAAAAAATGACCATATGACATATATTATATATTATAACTTAAAATTATAGCATTTAATAAATAATAAAACGACTTTAAAATTTATTTTTTGAATATTTTAAAAGTGCATTATTACTCTTATTTATATATATAAAAAAAAAATGCTCGAAGGGTTAGTGAGTCAATATGGTGATCCAATACGAAATATTAATG